CTTACGTTTGTGTATGTATAGAAAAAATTAAATGTTTTAACTCCACAAATGTGAAGCTCTATAGGAGAGAAAATTTTGATCTAGAAAAGTAAGTAGGTAGACAGCATGATAAAATTATATGGTTGTTATTCTCTTTGTGACTTACATTATATGTATGGAAGTATTTTGCCAGTACATTGAGACTTGTGGTGATAAAGTGATTACAAGCAAATGGGAGTCCCCTGTTACTGCTATATCTGATTTCAGAAAGTAAATAGGATGATTTTATACATAAAGGCCAGGAATGAACATTATGCACATAACTATATTTTGGTTTAGAATTAAATGTATGATTCTAATGGGAAGAAAAAAATAAGTTGAAGTTAAGATTTCAGGCTTCAGTACTTCTAAAACTGCTATATACATTTTCTGAATATAGGTATAATTGCCTGAGAGTAGACATCTTACTTGGAAACCAATAATTTATTAAGCATCCTTCTTGTTTTAACACATACTATATTATTCAGATTTAAACTTTCTTATAAGTTGAACTTGCATTTACAGCAACATGATGTTTAAGTAACCAAAGTTTTTCTGTGCTTGATTGGTTCAAAAATAAGGGGGGGCGGGTTTCATGCTGAGCATTCACTGAGAACAATGATACTATGGAATTGCTATAAGTTGTATTTGTGAAAATATGTTGCAACCATAATGAAATGTTGCACACTAATTAGTGATTATTCTACCTTTAAAATATGTTAGAAATACTGAGAAATATTTCTTGATGCTTTACAAAATGGTGTAATTGTGGATGGATTGGTCTGAATTTCTGGGGAAAAGTAAATCTTTAAGGATTTACATTTCATTTGTATGCATTTCCCTTTGTAGCTGCTTATTCTTATAGATACGATTGAGCCAGTCCAGGGACAAAACAAATAACATCTACAATTCAGTTTTGTCACTCAGTATGCAAAGTACATCATTGCTACAAATATATTTCAGATATATTGGGAAGGAAAATTTAAACATTAAAAAAAATCTGCAGTTCACTTTTTGCCATTGTGAGATATTTAGGACTTATTAGACAATGTGATTGAGGTGTTAAATTAGGATTGGAGAATTGCAGATTCTAATCCACTTTGAGCCACAGAATCTTACTAGATGACTTTGGACTTGCACGCAGCTTGATCTATTCACAGGTGTCTTCTTGTGGGGAAAAAGAGGCGGGAACGCCTAGAATATTTGAATGGAAGATGGACTATAACTAAGGGAGAAATAATGAATATTGAGACAGTAGGTGTAAAGGCACAGAAGCTTTTTTGGGAGAAATGTTCTTTTAGTAAAGGAACCAATATGTATATACCATCTAAAAGCAAGCTACAGGTATTTGATCATAGAGTAAGTAACCCAGTCATTATTTAAAATTCCATTGACAATGTTGAAACATCAGTACTGGAAAGTAAAGTAAAACATTGATGGTAAATACTGTTAAACCATCAAGTGAGATTAAAGTTGCATTCTCACAAAGTGTTTGGCTCGGAAACCAGTAAAAAAATCGTAGCTATTGTTACAATTATAGCCTTTTTTTGCTGCTCCTTGTACTGCCTCCTGTCCCCTATTTGCTTAGAAAGCATTAGTAACAAACAGTATTTTATGCTGTTCAAAAATGCTGTTAATATGAACAATTTAATTTGCAACTCACAAACTTTGGCTGTGCTGACATGGTTATGCTGTAAGTAATCCATGCATATCTGTGAGTTAATAAAACTGTAAAGCTTAGCAGTTCTGCTGAGCATGCTTGCAGCTAATCAAAATGCATGGAGTACCTCCTAGCCTATTGTGCCCTGGGTAGTCAGGAATTGCAATTTAAAAACAGCCTTCCAAATAAATAAATTGATAGTAGAATATAAACTTAGTTTCATATTGAATAAAACTGAATTTCACAAAATTAAAGCAAAGTTAGTGCACTAGTTGATGAGCTAAGCAGATCTCTGAGTTAATTCCTGCATTTTCTAATCTGGTACTACTTTCTGATTGTTTTATATCCATGGGCTCAGCAATTTATATGGTAACAAAATTTATCCAGAAAGCCAACACAGATGGAATTGCTTCCAATCCTGTACAATTTGTGTTGTTCTTTTGGTATGGCAGGATACTTAGGAAAATATACTTTCCTATTAAAAACATCTATTTAAATCAGATATATGTACTTGCTCATTAATAAATTGTTTAAAAAGAATCAAGGGATACTGTAATGTAGAAAAGTTTTGTTTCATAGTTCTTGAAGAAATCTATTTTAAAAGGCAGAAAGTAGTTCCATGGCATTTATTCAAGTGTATAGTTAAGTATAAATGAAACAGGAGGTTCTTTCACCAATCAAGACCCTAAACTAGTTTGGAGCTCCCAAAGTTAAACCAACACATTTTTGTTTTAATCTGGAAAGAATTGTTTAATCTTATCAAGCATTCAATGTAGCTCTTTTGATGATGGATTCATCATAGTCTGAATCAGTAGCTTAGATGTCATATTTTGCAATTCTGATTTTATTTAAGAACTGTTCTTTAAAAAATGCATTTCAATTGTTTAGTCATTACATAAATAATACATGGATACCTGTTACCTGGTTAGCTAGCCAAGGAATGGTTGCAGGTGACACTAAAAGTAATTGTTCTGCAGGATCCTTGCTGCCATCATCTGGGAATTCCAGGGTCAATATCAGATCAGAAAGCTTGTCCAGAATGTACATTTCTTTTTTCAAGGGAACCTATAATGTGTTTCTAGAATATGTTAAATCCCAACCATTAAGTTTTATTTTATAATGACTACGAGCCTTTTTGTTCCTCTGATTTAATTTCAATTGATTTATCCTCATTCAGACATTCAAGTGGGCAAACCAAATTTAAGTCTTTTTGGAACAGAGGGTGCTGCAAAGTTTTTATTTTTTGGAATGAGTATGGACAGTTTTCGTCCAAGAAGAGTTTCAACGGGGTTTTTTTCTGCCATTCAATTGAATCCAGTTTTCAGAAACCATCTGGACAAGTCCCTGTTGGCAAGGTTTTCCAAAAGTGGCTTGCCATTGCCCATTTCCTCTAGGGCTGAGAGAAAATGGTTAGCCCAAGGATTCCCAGCTGCCTTTGTGCCTAAAGCAGAACTGGAACTCACAGTCTCCCAGTTTCTAATCTGAAGTTTTAAACACTACTCTAAATTTACTGTCTTCAAAAGTATATTGGATTTTTAATACTTGGCAACATGATACATTAATAATCTACACTGACATTGGTATAAAAATAGAACTGAAACAATACTTATACCAGAGATCTTCAAACTTGGCAGCTTTAAAACTTGTGGACTTCAACTCCCATAATTCTCCAGCCAGCATAGCTGGTTGGAGAATTCTGGGAGTTGAAGTCCATAAGTCTTAAAGCGGCCAAGTTTGGGGACCCCTGACTTATACTAATATAATTCAGAACAACCAAAATATGAATTTTGATGTCTATTTAACAGATTTATAGGACTATCAAAGTCAAAGTGACTATGAATGATGTACATCAGAAACAAAACAATAAAGTCAATAACCAAATCGTGTTTAAAAAGAAGTTGCTCTTACATTTGTCTGTATGGAATTTTTAACAACTTTAATACCGTATTTTCCGGCGTATAAGACGACTTAACACATGAAAATCTTCTCAAAAATGGGGGGTTGTTTTATATGCCAGGTGTCGTTCTCCTGTAACCAGGCAGACCAGCCCAAAAGGCTCTGACGAGCCAAGCTCTGACCATCCCAGCTGAGTTGCCTGCTAATCAGGCAACTCAGCTGGGATCGCCAGGGCCATTTAAAAGGAAAAAAAACTTTTTTTCTTTTACATGGCTCTGGCGATCCAAGCTCTGGCGATCCCAGCTGAGTTGCCTGCTAATCAGGCAACTCAGCTGGGATCGCCAGAGCCATGTAAAAGGAAAAAAGTTTTTTCCTTTTACATGGCTCTGGCGATCCAAGCTCTGATGATCCCAGCTGAGTTGCTAATCAGGCAACTCAGCTTGGATCGCCAGAGCTATGTAAAAGGAAAAAAGTTTTCCCCCTCCAGCTTGCTTATCTTAGCTGCTAGTCGCAACGCTTGCTTTGCTTCGCTTGCCTGAATCCATTCCATCAGCAAGCAACTCCCTGCCTGCAATCAAGCAGGCAGGGAGTTGTGGACTTCAACTCCCAGAATTCCTCAGCCAGCTTTGCTTTGCTGGCTGAGGAATTCTGGGAGTTGAAGTCTACAAGTCTTAAAGTTGCCAAGGTTGGAGACCCCTGTTCTATTGGGTAAGTTTTTTTCCCCTTTGGGAGCTTTAAAAAAAATAGTTAATTGGGTGTTTTTTTTAGTTGTTCTTAGCCATTTAAAGTTTAGGAAGTTTTAAATTTAGCTTTCATATAAAAATAAAATAAAATAATATTTGTGCAGCTTTCTGAGATTTAGTGTGTTTCTGTAGTGTTTCACTCTAACTACACAAACACACAAAATCTCACAAAGCTGTATGTGGAATTTTGTGTGTGTAAAGTGTGAAAGTTGGGTTTTGGGGCTTTTTGTGGCTGTGTGAGGTTCCTGCTTGTTGCAGGGGCCATTTTGGGTCTAGCACAGCTGCTTTTACATTGTTGGTGAGCTAGTTGATGTTTTTTAATTTTTATTTGGTGTGCGTTGGAAGAGGGGTAGTCTTATATGGCGAGTATAGCCCAAACCCTATATTTTAACAGGAAAAGTCGGGGGTCGTCTTATACGCCGGTAAATATGGTAATTTGTCTGCAAGGTGGTACATGAATTTTATTTTTATTCTAATGGATGGATTCCTTATTTTATTAGATGTACATCTAGTTATTCTCCGGGACAGTCAGAATGCATAACTTAATAATAATATATTTGAAAATAAAGGAACTGGTACTCTAGAGTAGTTGTAATATATGGACGTTTTAGGTCTTGAAACTTTTCAGATAGGAAAATTTTATGTGTATTTATAATTTAACAAATTATACCTTTTGTGTGCAGCTTGGCAAAAGAAAAGGTTATGTATGAAAAAGAAGCAAGGCAACAAGAAGAAAAAATTGAAAAGATGAAAGCTGAAGATGGAGATAACTATGCAATTAAAAAGCAGGTAAAGTTCATGAGTGAGTGGCTGCTTCTGGGTGGGGGAGGGAGCGAAGTATTTGTAAGACTCACTGGGAAATTGGCACTGTTGAAAATGAAGATCACATGACCGCAGCAGCACTGAAGCAGCCACAATTTTCCCAAATGTCATTTCCACGAGAGTCATGGGTCCAAATTATAACATAATTTGAATACAGTTGTTTAACAATTGGGAGCTGCAAGTCTGCCACTAAGCAATGTGGTTCTTAAATGAAACATTACATGATCTTAACAAGCTTACAATTTCACTTCCATGATGGTCATTAACTAAATCACCTGCAAAACATCATTATGACTCTGCTTTGCAATTTTACTTCAGGTTTCTTCAATAAATCTGGTTTTCAGAATCCAGTTCTGAAGTATATAAATGGTGATCACCTCAGCATTGTGATGCTTTGACAGTCATAAGTGCAAGGACTAATCATAAAGTTACCTTTTCAGTGCTTCGTACCATTGAACGGGTTACTAAACAGTTACTAATCTGTTAAAAACTAGCTGTAGTCCAAGTCCAGTAGCTAATAAGTATAATTAAAAAAATATTCTTATCAACAGTGCTCTATAGGAAGGGAAAAGCAATAATGAAAATTCCAAGTTAGAATTTGTATATTTGGAATATATCATTGGCTATTCCTTAGTGCACTCTGAATGTTGCAAAAAGTGAAATATCTATGCTGCCTATATACCAACTTTATCTTGGAATCTTTTCACAACTATATATAGTCGTGTATACCGAACCCTATTTATAGTTCTAGAAATTACTGTTTCTGTTGGAATCTTCATGCTTAGTAATTTGCTAATTGATTTTCATTTCTAGCTACATTATACAGATCTTTTTTTACAGGTCTTTTCAGTTCATAAATTTGAGAGCTGAAAATACTCCATTAAAAAAAGGATGGTGTTGTGGAAAATTACAACATTGTCTTCTGGAGATGTATACAAGATGTTCAAATACATTGGAGTGCCAGATCAGTAATTTCTCACAAAAAGCATGGTGAGAATAATCTTTCACCTAAAACAAAACCCAAGGATGAGTAATAACTTTTTTATGCATGATAAGCATCAAAAATATGAGCCTGCTGGTCTTTGCTTTTCATTTTTCTTTACCTTTTTCTCAGTTAGAACCTCCTGCAGTGAGCATCCAATGTGATCAATAACTCAATAACTTTTTTCATGCAGTAATTATCTCTGTGCGGTATTATCTGAACACTGTTTTTATTTATTACCCAAAAGATGTAGGAGATATTTATATAACCAGCTGATCCCATTTTGGACGAAGCTGTTTCTAACCGCAGGGGAAATAGTTTATATCAAATAGTATTTTAAATAACTATTTCATAGAAAGCTTTCTAATAGTTTTTGCTTGAAGGTAGAAATAATATTGAATACTCTTTCTTTAATAAAATACTGTTTATGCGTATGAATATATATATATCAATGTGAGGTCTGGTTTTAGGCAGCTAATATCAAAATGGAAAGTTATCTCTTATTTCACTTTTTAGACCGAGATCTTGCAAGAATCTCGAATGATGATTCCTGATTGCCAACGCCGACTAGAAGCTGCACATTCTGACCTTGTTCAACTATTAGTAAGTATGGAAGAGGAATTTTTCTATAGGACTGCCAGCTGAACTTAGATTAGTTTATACATCTTGTTTTGATATATTACCAACTGTTAATGTGCATATCTCATTATTGCCAGCTCTTCAAAATAGACACATTAAAAATATGAATATATGAATATTTAAGAATAAAATTGGCAGTTTTACAGAAAAAGTATACTTCTTGAGACTTATTTATGTTTAAATGGCCAACTCAAAATAGTCTTCCTCCCCCCTCTGTTTTTCAGTGATTTAAGAATTTCCATTACAATCAGTCAGTTAATGCTTGATGCGAAATTTTAATCAGATGTTTAAATTGAAATATGGTTGATATAAAATATATGAAATGCAGTGGGTGAAATATCAAAGTTGGCTTGAGGTAAGCAGGTTGACAATTAAGCTTGAGTATTGTGTGGAAATATAGTGGAAAGAAAATCATTTATGGGTATTTGGATAAAAGAGAAACAAGAGCATAATCAGTCACTGAACATAATTCTTAAATGGGAGCTTTAGACAACTCTGTATTTAAGTTAGACTTTAAAAGAAATAACTTAAATATTTGCAGTACCAGTTCTTCTGAAAATTGCCATAGTCTTACTTTTCAGAATGACTGCTCTAAAGTGTTGGAAGCTATGCTTCAATGTATTAACAAATACAGAGCCTGATTCGTATGTTTTCCTCTTCAAGTCTATTTCAGAGTTGTAAGCTAAAGGAAATTTTCTAACCCAGCATTCACTGTTTATTAAAAGTTCTCATAGCTTTAGGAAACATTTCTTTAGCTGTGGCACATAGGATCTTCATTTTAGATCTTTTCTGGAAGCTTTTTTCTGTAGCAATAGAAATAGCACTCAAACGGTTTAGAATCAGCATCCTTATTGGTAACACCAAAGGCAAACCTTGTTTAGCATCCTGTTTTTGACAGTAGACAATCAGATGTTGCCAAGCCCAGAGTCAACACAATGAAGTCCAGTCAAGGTTCAGTCCTTTATTTGCTTACAGCTAATGGGCAGAATCTTGTAAAATGATGAAAGCTATACTCTTCTAACCTACTAGATATACCCCGTTTTCCTAAAAACAAAACCCAATCGGAAAATAAGCCCTAGCATGATTTTTCAGGATGCTTGTAATTTAAACTCTACCCCAAAAATAAGCCCCAGTTAAGCAACCAAGAGGGATGCTGTACTGTATTGTATTTCCCCCAAAATAAGACCTAACCAGAAAATAAGCTCCAATGTGTCTTTTGGAGCAAAAAATGATATAAGACCTGGTCTTATTTTCATGGAAACATGAGTATCCTGAGAGATTCTAGGGTGGGGCTTATCTGAATCTCTTCTCCTATCCCCCATTCAGTTTGGGACTGTGTAGTCTCTTAATCCGGGCCTCTCTCTGGTAACCCAAACCCACCCACCCCCCACAGTACTTCAGGTGCACATTCCAGCACAAATGCCTTTGGGAAACCTTCATGTAGGATATAATTGCTTTCTCCTGCTGCTTTCTCCCAAAAATTGATGTTCATAGATATTGATTGATTGATTGATTTGATTTGATTTGATTTGATTTGATTTGATTTGATTTGATTTGATTTGATTTCTATACCGCCCTACTCCCGAAGGACTCAGGGCGGTGCACAGCCAAACAATAAAATATATACATACAAAATTTAAAAGTGGAATTAAAATCAAATTAAATAGTTTTGGCCCAGACAAATTAAAACCCCAATCAATTTAAAACCAATTTTAAAATTTGAATATATAAAATACTAAAAAATATTAAAAATTAAAAATCTTTTATAAAAGAGGGAGAAAATTAGGCCAGGCCCGCCTGGTGAAATAAAAAGGTCTTTAAAGCGCGGCGGAAGGCGCGCAGATCCGGGATCCTCTGTATCTCCGGGGGGAGCTCGTTCCAGATAATAGGTGCCCCCACAGAGAAGGCTCTCCCCCTGGGGGCCGCCAGTGGGCATTGTTTGGCCGACGGCACCCGGAGGAGCCCCTCTCTATGGGAGCGTACCGGCCGGTGGGAGGCTATTGGTGGTAGTAGGTGGTCCCACAAGTACCCAGGTCCTGAGCCATGGAGCGCTTTAAAGGTGGTAACCAAAACCTTGAAGCGCACCCAGAAGACCACCGGGAGCCAGTGCAGCTCGCGCAGGAGGGGTGTTACATGGGAACGCCATGTCGCTCCCATTACCACCCGCGCGGCCGCACTCTGCACCAGTTGGAGCCTCCGGGTGCTCCTCAAGGGGAGCCCCATGTAGAGAGTGTTACAATAGTCCAGGCGGGAGGTGACGAGGGCATGAGTGACTGTGCGTAAAGAGTCCCGATCCAGAAAGGGACGCAACTGTCGAATCAGGCGAACCTGATGAAAAATCCTCCCGGTCACGGCTGTCAAGTGCTCTTCTAAAGACAGCCATGAATCCAGGAGGATGCCCAAGTTGCGAGCCCTCTCCGTGGGGGCCAGCGATTCACCCCCAATAGTCAGTGATGGCACCAACTGATTATATCGGGACGTCGGAAAGCACAGCCACTCGGTCTTGGATGGGTTGAGCCTGAGCCTATTCCTCCCCATCCAGATCCGCACGGCCTCCAGGCATCGGGACATCACTTCAAGGGCATCGTTGGGGTGGTCTGGGGTGGAGATGTACAGCTGGGTGTCGTCAGCGTACTGGTGGTACTTCACCCCGAAACCACGGATGATCTCGCCCAGCGGCTTCACATAAATGTTGAACAGGAGGGGCGAGAGGACCAACCCTTGCGGCACCCCGCATATGAGGGGCCTCGGGGTCGACCTCTGCCCCCCTGTCAACACAGACTGCGACCGGTCAGAGAGAAAGGAGGAGAACCACTGCAACACAGTGCCTCCCACCCCTAACTCTTCCAACCGGTGCAGCATGATACCATGGTCGATGGTATCAAAAGCCGCTGAGAGATCTAATAGGACCAGGACAGAGGAGCACCCCCTGTCCCGAGCCCTCTAGAGATCATCAACCAACACGACCAATGCCGTTTCCGTGCTGTACCCGGGCCTGAAGCCCGACTGGAACGGATCCAGATATGTCGTTTCATCCAGGTGCTGGGGGAGCTGTCGCGCAACAACTCTCAACAACCTTCGCCACAAAGCGAAGGTTGGAGACCGGACGATAGTTTACCAACATTGCCAGGTCCAGGGAAGGCTTCTTGAGGAGAGGCCTCACCACCGCCTCTTTCAAGGCGGCGGGAAAGTCACCCTCACCCAAGGAAGCATTTATAATCCCCTGGAGCCAGCCTCGTGTCACTTCCCGGGAAGCCAGCACTAACCAGGAAGGACATGGGTCCAATAAACAAGTGGTCGCGTTCAGTCTGCCCAGAATCCTGTCCACGTCCTCAGGAGTCACAGGATCAAACTCATCCCAGATAACATTCTCAAGACCGGCCCCTGTCTCTCCCCCTGAGACTACCCAGTTGAAGTCCAAATCTTCCCGAATCTGAGTGATTTTGTCATACAGATACTGAACAAAATCCTCGGCTCTACCCTCCAAGGGGTCCTCCCGTGCTTCCTGATATGTTGGCCATTGTTTATGAGATACTGTCATCACAGCTAATGTAGTCATTAATGGTATCTAATCTTGTTTCAGGTGTATTAGGCTGATTGGCATCATCTTGTGGCAGCTTTAAATTCCACATATTGTATATGAAAAAGGATTTCATTTTTGTCTTCTTACAATTGGATTTAAATCTCCAGATAAGGCTTACCAATTTAAAGATGGACTTTTGTGGAACACCATCTGAAATACCAGACAGTACTGTTTTAAATTAACTATAACAAAGTCCACGTATCTTGTCCTAGCCAAATAACTCTATGATCCCATTGTTTATTATTCCTAATGCCATTGGTACTAATAACAACAATTTTAGCATTATAGGATGTTATTTCTAAAGGTTGGAGGCATACTTTTAAAAATATTTAGAAGTTTTTATTTATTTTCAGGAAAATGAAAGAGAGTTGGAAGAAACTGAAGAATATAAAGATGCACAATCAGTACTGGGATCGATAAAGTTAGAAGCCTAGACTGATTTTTCCCCACGTAATGAATATGCTTCAATGTTGGGTCCATTGCTACTTTTTACAGTTTGGTCATTGCTATACATTTGTTCTAGTAATAATAAGAATGATAGTGTACTAAAATTGTATTTTATGCCATTACAAATTATTTAGTTCTTTTTATTTAATTTTTTGAAGAAAGCATTGTATAATCATACGAGATAAAAATAAAAACTTAAATCAAAACAAAAGAGCATTTTTCTAATTATTTTTAGCATAAATAATATATCCAGGATTGAATCAGGCTATCAACTGCATTCTCTGCCCCTAATAATGGGTACTGTTTCTGATTCTCATTTGCACATAATTTTCAGGAATTTACTAATATCCAGAATCCAAGATTTTTATCCATTGAAGCCAATGATGAGATAATAAGAAATACAGGTAGTCCTCGATTTACAATAGTTCATTTAGCAACTGTTCGAAGGCACAACAGCAGTGAAAAAAGTAACATGACCATTTTTCAGTTTTGACCATTGCAGCATCCCCATGGTCATGTGATTTACATTTGGATGCTTGGCAACTGACTCACATTTATGAGGATTGCAGTGTCCCCGGGTCATCTGATCCCCTTTTGCGACCTTCTGACAAGCAAAGTCAGTGGGGAAACCAGATTCACTTAACAGCTCTGTAACTAATTTAAGAACTGCAATGATTCACTTAACAAATGTGGTGAGAAAAGTCGTAAAATGGGGCAAAACTCACTTAACAAATTTCTCACTTAACAACATAAATTTTGGGCTGAATTGTGTTTGTAAATTGAGGACTACCTATAGAAAGTTTGATTCAAAACATGAGTGAGGGGAGTTTAACATTTCTCAGCAATTATTGCAGTTGTGAAAATGTGTGCTTGCATGTATTGGACTTATATACTGCTATTCTGCACACTTGAGCATCTCCAAAGGATTTCACAACCAATACATTTCTCCTCTTGTGCCACATCCAAACAACATGCTCATTTTTTTTCAATGGCTTGCCATAAGTAAGTATTACAGTACTACAAGTGCTAGGATGTCAAGTTTCTCTAACAACAAGGAACAGAAATGGTATTGGTAAATTCTTCATTGTGGAACTCAGACATAAAGAGCCTTGGTGGCGCAGCAGATTAAAGTGGTGGTAAATGACACCAGCTGACTGCAATTACTGCAAGTTCGAATCTCACCAAGCTCAAGGTTGACTCAGCCTTCCATCCTTTCGAGGTAGGTAAAATGAGGACCCGGATTGTGGGGGCAATAAACTGACTTTGTATAAAAAAGAACACTGCTGGGTGGAGCCGAAAGCCCTACTAAGCAGGTATATACAAAAGTATGAAGGCTATTGCTTAATGCATTGTAAGCCGCCCTGAGTCTCCGGAGAAGGGCAGCATATAAATTGAACCAATAAATAAATAAATTACTGTATTTGTAGAGATTTGTATGCCAACAGAAGATTAAAATTGTTTTGTTTGTCTGCAAAATTCTGATATCCAGAATTTAAAGAGAGAGGGAGGGGGAAAGAGAGAGAGATACATAGATAGATACATAGATATAATTTTTTATTGGCCAAGTGTAATTGGACACACAAGGAATTTGTCTTTGGTGCATATGCTCTCAGTGTACAGAAAAAAAAAGATCTAATAAAGGACTCAGTGTACATAAAAAGAAAAGATATATTTGTCAAGAATCATAAGGTACAACACTTAATGATAGTCATAGGGTACAAATAAGCAATTGAATCATACTAGGAAACAATCAATATAAATCGTAAGGATACAGCCACAAGCTACAGTCATAAGTGGGAGGAGATGGATGATAGGAACAATGAGATATTCAAATCTCTTAAAACTGAGAGTTCTATTAATATAAATTCATTCATTGCCATTCTCCAGAGTGCCCCAAATAACTTCCAACACCTTTTATATCATCTTAACACCTGTTTTGAAAAAGCCTTTTACACTGACTTCCTTGTTGGTTAGAATCCTGCATTATTGGCATCCTAGATCATGTGAAAAGAGCACATGTATAATTGTACATATAAAGGGTTCGCTTCCTGCACGTATTAGTATCTAGAGTTATTTTTTCAGGAGGCTGTCATGCCTTGAATAACATCAGCAGAGGATATGAGTATTGTGGATAACATAATACTTAATATAGCTGTTACAGTCTCAAATTATGCTGAAACAGTATATTGCTTGCCCATGATATTAGACTGAAAAACTAAGATTGGAGAATATGTTGCAATGACAAAATTGACATATTGCAACAGAAGTTTAACTAAATTCAAGTAGAAATAGCCTCCCTTATTTACAGTATATCAAAGAGATAGATTTAGATAAGGAATATTATTCTCAGGACTCACTACTAATGATTGAAAGTTCAAATATGGTTAGGGGGATGGGTATGCAAATAGGGAAAGGGAAAGGGAAGATATATCAAAACATAAATTCTTGTTTTACTATGTATTTTTAATACAAATGTAACCATTGATTTTCTTTTTAAAAAACATTTTGTATTTTAATATTTGTTTTTTCTCCTTACTTTGTATTTCAGTATTTTAACAATAAACATATGGAAAAAATAAATAAAATGGTATGTATTCAACACCCTAAATAGGGCAAATGTATCTAGGAGATATTTTCACCCATCCTGGTCACTAATATCTCTCTAAGCTGGAAATCTTTTGTAAATGGTGCATATCCAAAGATCACAGAATACTAGTGGATTTAAATCATAGCATAAACTTCCTGAGCTCAAAGTGATAATGTTGGCTGCTTTCCCTTTCCCCCCAAAATAGAACCCAATGAAATTGAACACTGAAAGAATCAAGATGGACAAAAGAATATTTGTTTGCACAATTTGTAATAAAATTTTGGAATTTGCTACCATGAAGTATGCTGGTTACCAGCTTGGCTGACTTCAAAGAAGGTTGGACTAATTTATAGAAGTCATAGGGATCGGTGACTAATAGCTTTGGTGGCAGTGTAGCTGCTTCGGAAAGCCATCAGCTGGGAGATGAGTAGGCTTCCTTGTGCAGTTGGCTGGCTGCTGTGTGAACAGGCTAATGGCCTAAATCAGCATCCCTCAACCAGGGACCAGTTCCATGGAGAAAAACTGGAGGGGGTGTGGTTTTGCAAGCTGCCTGCATCCCATGGATGGGGCTTCGATTGATTCTATGGCCCAGTTCTAGCATGCTGTGGCCCAGTGGTGGTCTGCTTATATTCTTATGTACAATAAAATGGCCTCAGTCAAGTGATGTACTAGGATGAAATCAAATCCTGTTATTAAGATAGTGGAAGGGGCAATGTTACATCATTGTCTCAACAGAACATGATGGGGACTCCTTCAATATGACTGATTTATTTTATCACATATAGAAACTGCCCATCTCCCCCACAGAGACTCTGATCTAACATGGACCTGGGATAGTGGAGTTTATATTCACAGATGTTCTACAAGATTTGTCCGACCTTCAGAATATCTCTTTACTTCACCAGAAACCATAAACTAAGCCAGCTCCAGTTCTGTATGGAGGGAGCCCTACCCCCAAATGTTATGAATATTAAAATCTCTTTAAATATATGAAACAAGCTGGATGAATGAAAAGCTATCAAAATGGGCCTTTAAGAGGACCAAGGATTGATGCCAGTCAAGCAATCTTTCCCTTCCAGCACACCTGCTTTGACAATTAGGGTCAATGATCACCATGCCAGGTGGATCAAAGCTTGAGTATCCTACTATGGAACCTACTGAGCAGGTACAGAGGGCACCTCCACTAGAAGCAGTCACTATTTGCCTTTGCCACTATATTTAAGAGGGACTGCTGACAACATTTGCAAAGAGGAAATTATTTGGAAAAGTTACTTGTGGACAAGGATAGAATTACCTTTTTGATTACCTTTTGATTATTCAATTAGGATGAGCTTCTAAATGCAGCTAGAACTGGGAACACAGACTTTTGTTCTTCACAAGCAATTTAAGCAACTCAATATTATATTGCAATAGTTATTCCAGTTTCTAGCAGTATATGTTTTAAATCCAGGGTATGCAACTAACTAGGGCAGTGATGGCTAACCTTTTTGCCATTGCATGCCAAAAGCGGGGGGAGCGTGGTGGGGTCACACACACGCGTGCCCACATCCATAATTCTATGTGCCCCCCCGGGCTCCCCCCACTTTTGGCACATGATGGCACGGTGGGCCCGGTAGGCCCGTTTTTGGCTCTCCCCAGGCTCTAGAGCCTTTCTAGGAGCCTGGGGAGGGCAAAAACAGCCTTCCCCTCCCCCAGAGGCCCTCCGGAGGCTGGAAACAGTGTGTTTCCTGACTTCTGGCTGGCACACACATGCATGCCGGAGCTGAGCTCACGTGCCCACCAATATGGCTACACGTGCCACCTGTGGCACCCGTGCCATAGGTTCGCCATCACGGAACTAGGGCAAATAGCCACACTATAAATGCATTATTTTAAATATATTAAAACTATGTACAATGAATATGACTGCCAGCTCTGTTTTTTAATAATGTTTTCCTTCTGCTACATTAAAAGTGATCATTTGGGGCAATTCTTCAAAACGCTCTAGAGTAGGGATGTCAAACTTGATTTATTGAGGGCTGCATCAGCGTTGTGTTTGACCTCAGGGGGCTGGGTGGGCGTGGCCAGGACGGGTGTGGCCAGATAGACGTCACTTGTGTCAGGGGCACCTGGTAGCCCTAGTGGCCCAGGCGGGGCTGGGGGTGGATCCTCCTGCAGCCCTCTGCCAGCAAAAACAGAGCCCGGGGGCTCCCTTTTCGCTGGCAGAGGCACTGTGGGCCAATCCTTCTCTATTTTCAGGGCAGCCCCGTGGGCCAGATCTAAGCACCCCACAGGCTGGATCCGGCCCACGGGCCTTGAGTTTGTCACCCCTGCTCTAGAGCTTCTTGAGTGTTTGGGGAAAGTATGCAACCCTATGACAGACTCTATACCTCTGGCACAATTTTGTATACAACTATTTTTTATAAAATTGCTCTAGTGGATCTAACATCTTTGAAAAGGTTATATGTTTTCTATACAACAGAGGGGATGGAAAGTTGTTGCAGTGTTGAAAAAACTATCATGCAGATCAGATACTTATTTCTCAGTTATGCTATTGAAGTGCATAAAGGCTGGGTCAGCAAATGATAGCCGCTTCTAAATCTGTCTTAACCACTGCATTAAGAACTCTCTGGTTCAACATTCTA